AGAGCAGGAGAAGGTCAACACAAATCAGGACAAGCAGGATCGGCAACAGGAACACGTCAGAAACACAGGTACAGGAACAAGACTTTGTGGCGACCTGATCACCGCCTGGCCAGTTTAAATAGTGCGCCCGCACCGCCATTGGTGCCATGCGCGGCCGCAATTGCCACCGCCACCACCCAGGTCCTAGTGCCTGCACATTAGTGCACCTAGTCAGTCTGCGCATGCGCAGACCTGTGCGCCGCGGCCGATCCGCAGTCCCTGACACTCGCACAGTGTATACAGTCCACCACCCACTCTGACAGGAACACACTGGACCTTGTCTTCTCTCATCTCTGCACTCCCCCACAACCTCACAAACACCCTCTTTCCTCTCTCTGATCACAACCTCATTTCCTTCTCCGTCTCCTCGTCCTCAAACACCTATCCCTCCAAACGTCAAACTATCACCTATCTACTACTTTCATAGTAATCTACCCACAGGTGGAATGTCACTTGTGCATAGGGAAAGTTATGAGCAAAATATGAACTATGAGAGATTTTGGCTCTAGTTTAGGTATCCGCCCAGACGATCCCTCCCTAAACGGGACATTGGTCCTCCTCGTCCTCAAACACCTATCCCTCCAAACGTCAAACCATCACCAGCAGAAACCTCCGCAACTTGAACCCTGCCCCTTTCCACTCTGCAGCTGACCAACTTTACGACAGTATCCTTCCCCTGTCTTGCCCTGACCTGGCCACTACTGTTTATAACAACTCGCTATCTGCCGTTCTAGACTTGCTAGCACCCCCAACAACACGAAGCATTAGACCACAACCGCTACAACCCTGGCAGACTGACCATACCAAAAATCTCAAACGACGCAGTCGTGCGCTGGAGCGACTATGGCGCAAAACCAGATCCCAACAAGCGTTCACCCAATATAGATCTGCCTTCCTAACCTACACTTCCTCCCTTCACACTGCCAAGCAAGCCTACTTTGTTACCCTCATTAATACCTTCTCCAGTCCTCACCGGCTTTTCTCTACTTTTAACTCTCTACTCTCTCTGCCCCCATCTCCACCACTGGATTGCCAACCACTTCAAAAACAAGATTGACGCAATTCGTCAAATCCATTTTTCCCTATGTCTCATATCTTGGAATATGAGAGACTTACATAAAAACCAGGTATATCTTTAGATTGGCTATGAGAAGACAAACAGTTTGATAGGTCACACTCCCTGACTGGAATACCTAGGAAAGCAGAAAAATTACATCTCTGGAACCATTCAAATATGTATTTCATATTTCATATCAACCCGTTCCTCAAAAGCGTCTGCATAGTAATCTACCCGCGGGTGGAATGTCACTTGTGCATAGGGAAAGTTATGAGCAAAATATGAACTATGAGAGATTTTGGCTCTAGTTTAGGTATCTGCCCAGATGACCCCGGAAGTGTACCGCAAGCGGTTCAGGTCCATGCAAAAGGGACCTGGGGACTCTTACACAGATGTGGCGAGTTGCTTATGCACCACATTCCAGCAGTGGACTAAAGGACTGAAAGCAGACTCCTACGAGTCTTTAGAAGATCTCATGATATGAGATCAGCTCCTGCATATCTGCCCGGCAGACGTCAGACAGTTCATTTTGGAGAGAGAGAGCCAGCATCTACTAAAGCTGCAGCCGATTTGGCAGATACCTACATTCATACGGTGGTGTCTGACCCTCCAAACAGCTGGAAAGGAGGGAAATCGCCACTAGCAACCTATCCTATGTCGGTGAGTCAAGCTTCCCCTCCGCCCACACCTGCAGCACTTGGAGCCAAGACATCCCTGCCTGACAACCGCAGATGTTTCACCTGTGGGAAAGCCGGACATCTCAAGACGCAGTGTCCTGAGCAGAAGCAGACGACATCATCTGGCCAGCAACTCTTCTTCCATGCTGTTCGCCCACAGGAAGATGTGGATAACCCCCGCAAACTTGCAGCCAGTCACTGTGGGCAACCACTCTGTAACTGGTTTCCGGGAAACTGGGGCAGAAGTCACCTTGATCCAGCCAGAGGTGATTGAGCAAAGGAACCTCATCCCAGGAAAGTTCCTTACCCTCACAGGAGTTGGGGGGACCCGTTCACTCATACCCTGTGAAAAGGTATTCTATGATTGGGGTGTGGGAAGGGGGATGAGGGAGGTGGGGGTCTCGGATGAAATTCCCACACCTGTTTTTTGGGTGCTGATCTAGGCACTCTTGTTTCCTATTATGCCCCTGCCGAGAAATTCTCTGGACATGCCAAGGTACTGTGTGCAGATGTTGGGGTAATGTCTGGGCAACCTGTGGATGGACAGAGGGAGGGGGCTGGGAATGAAGTGGGGCTACAGGTTTCTCCATTAGCTGGAGAACGAGAAGAAATCCCCTTGCCTGGGGAGGTATCAAACTCATGTGTCATTGATATTATAAATAGAGATGAGCGAAGTATTCAAAAATTCGATTCGACTGATTCGGCGAATTCGTGGAAAATATTCGATTCGAGTCGAATATATTCGCTGTGAATTTAACTTAAAAAAGGGGGTGTTTCTAGGCTTCAGAGAGACTTAATATTAGTGCAGAACACTGAACCTTTAATTTAAATGCCCTTGGAGTCTGCTGGGGAAGAGAAATAATACTGTCAGTCAGTATGACATGCAGATGAGTGCCGTCGATCTTAGAATCACCGCACACTTCACTCATTTGGCCAGTCACGGGGCCAAAACCAGTGTTTGGAGCCACAGTGTGGCGGTGGAGGCAGCAGCAATGGGAGGCCATACAGCAACCTATGACAAAATGGAAACCAGCAGGAGTGTGAGAAGACCTCAAAGTGGCACATGGCAGAGTGGGAGCAATGGGAGGCGGTACAGGGACCCATGTCACACTGTGGACCTGGCAGCAGCGTGACGAGGCGGTACGGGGGCCCATGGCAGATTTGGGACCTGGCAGCACCTATGGGAGGCCTGTAATCTGCCAGCAACCTATGACAAAATGGAAACCAGCAGGAGTGTGAGGAGACCTGAAAGTGGCACATGGCAGAGTGTGGCGATGGGACAGCAGCAATGGGAGGCCGTACAGGGACCCATGAGAGACTCTGGACCTGGCAGCAGCATGAGGAGGCGGTATATAGGGGCCCATGGCAGATTAGGGGCCTGGCAGCAGCTATGGAAGGCCCGTAATCTGCCAGCACCCTATGTCAAAAAATTGAAACACACCAGCAGTGTGTGAGGAGACCTGAAAGTGGCACATGGCAGAGTGTGGCGATGGAGACAGCAGCAATGGGAGGCCGTACAGGGACCCATGAGACTGTGGACCTGGAAGCAGCATGAGGAGGCGGTATAGGGGCCCATGGCAGATTAGGGGCCTGGCAGCAGCTATAGGAGGCCCGTAATCTGCCAGCACTCTATGACAAAAAATTGAACACACCAGCAGTGTGTGAGGAGACCTGAAAGTGGCACATGGCAGAGTGTGGCGATGGAGACAGCAGCAATGGGAGGCCGTACAGGGACCCATGAGAGACTCTGGACCTGGCAGCAGCATGAGGAGGCGGTATAGGGGCCCATGGCAGATTAGGGGCCTGGCAGCAGCTATGGGAGGCCCGTAATCTGCCAGCACCCTATGACAAAAAATTGGAACACACCAGCAGTGTGAGGAGACCTGAAAGTGGCACATGGCAGAGTGTGGCGATGGAGACAGCAGCAATGGGAGGCCGTACAGGGACCCATGAGACACTCTGGACCTGGCAGCAGCATGAGGAGGCGCTATATAGGGGCCCATGGCAGATAGGGGGCCTGGCAGCAGCTATAGGAGGCCCGTAATCTGCCAGCACCCTATGACAAAAAATGGAACACACCAGCAGTGTGAGGAGACCTGAAAGTGGCACATGGCATGAGACACAGTGGACCTGGCACGAGCAGCATGAGGAGGCGCGGTACAGGGGCCCATGGCAGATTAGGGGCCTGGCAGCAGCTATGGGAGGCCCGTAATCTGCCAGCACCCTATGACAAAAAATGGAACACACCAGCAGTGTGAGGAGACCTGAAAGTGGCACATGGCATGAGACAGCTGTGGACCTGGCAGCAGCATGAGGAGGCGGTACAGGGGCCCATGGCAGATTAGGGGCCTGGCAGCAGCTATGGGAGGCCCGTAATCTGCCAGCACCCTATGACAAAAAATGGAACACACCAGCAGTGTGAGGAGACCTGAAAGTGGCACATGGCAGAGTGTGGCGATGGAGACAGCAGCAATGGGAGGCCGTACAGGGACCCATGAGACACTCTGGACCTGGCAGCAGCATGAGGAGGCGGTATAGGGGCCCATGGCAGATTAGGGGCCTGGCAGCAGCTATGGGAGGCCCGTAATCTGCCAGCACCCTATGACAAAAAATGGAACACACCAGCAGTGTGAGGAGACCTGAAAGTGGCACATGGCAGAGTGTGGCGATGGAGACAGCAGCAATGGGAGGCCGTACAGGGACCCATGAGACTCTGGGACCTGGGCAGCAGCATGAGGAGGCGGTACAGGGGCCCATGGCAGATTAGGGGCCTGGCAGCAGCTATGGGAGGCCCGTAATCTGCCAGCACCCTATGACAAAAAATGGAACACACCAGCAGTGTGAGGAGACCTGAAAGTGGCACATGGCAGAGTGTGGCGATGGAGACAGCAGCAATGGGAGGCCGTACAGGGACCCATGAGACACTCTGGACCTGGCAGCAGCATGAGGAGGCGCTATAGGGGCCCATGGCAGATTAGGGGCCTGGCAGCAGCTATGGGAGGCCCGTAATCTGCCAGCACCCTATGACAAAAAATGGAACACACCAGCAGTGTGAGGAGACCTGAAAGTGGCACATGGCAGAGTGTGGCGATGGAGACAGCAGCAATGGGAGGCCGTACAGGGACCCATGAGACACTCTGGACCTGGCAGCAGCATGAGGAGGCGCTATAGGGGCCCATGGCAGATTAGGGGCCTGGCAGCAGCTATGGGAGGCCCGTAATCTGCCAGCACCCTATGACAAAAAATGGAACACACCAGCAGTGTGAGGAGACCTGAAAGTGGCACATGGCAGAGTGTGGCGATGGAGACAGCAGCAATGAAAGGCCGGCACAGGGACATGAGACACTGTGGACCTGACCTGGCAGCAGCATGAGGAGGCGGTACAGGGGCCCATGGCAGATTAGGGGCCTGGCAGCAGCTATGGGAGGCCCGTAATCTGCCAGCACCCTATGACAAAAAATGGAACACACCAGCAGTGTGTGAGGAGACCTGAAAGTGGCACATGGCAGAGTGTGGCGATGGAGACAGCAGCAATGGGAGGCCGTACAGGGACCCATGAGACACTCTGGACCTGGCAGCAGCATGAGGAGGCGGTATAGGGGCCCATGGCAGATTAGGGGCCTGGCAGCAGCTATGGGAGGCCCGTAATCTGCCAGCACCCTATGACAAAAAAATGGAACACACCAGCAGTGTGAGGAGACCTGAAAGTGGCACATGGCAGAGTGTGGCGATGGAGACTGCAGCAATGGGAGGCCGTACAGGGACCCATGAGAGACTCTGGACCTGGCAGCAGCATGAGGAGGCGGTATAGGGGCCCATGGCAGATTAGGGGCCTGGCAGCAGCTATGGGAGGCCCGTAATCTGCCAGCACCCTATGACAAAAAATGGAACACACCAGCAGTGTGAGGAGACCTGAAAGTGGCACATGGCATGTGGACACTGTGGACCTGGGACCCATGCAGATGAGGAGGCAGCAGCATGAGGAGGGGGGGGCCCATGGCAGATTAGGGGCCTGGCAGCAGCTATGGGAGGCCCGTAATCTGCCAGCACCCTATGACAAAAAATGGAACACACCAGCAGCAGTGTGTGAGGAGACCTGAAAGTGGCACATGGCAGAGTGTGGCGATGGAGACAGCAGCAATGGGAGGCCGTACAGGGACCCATGAGACACTCTGGACCTGGCAGCAGCATGAGGAGGCGGTATAGGGGCCCATGGCAGATTAGGGGCCTGGCAGCAGCTATGGGAGGCCCGTAATCTGCCAGCACCCTATGACAAAAAATGGAACACACCAGCAGTGTGTGAGGAGACCTGAAAGTGGCACATGGCAGTGGCGAGAGACACTGTGGACCTGGGACCCATGAGAGACTCTGGACCTGGCAGCAGCATGAGGAGGCGGTACAGGGGCCCATGGCAGATTAGGGGCCTGGCAGCAGCTATGGGAGGCCCGTAATCTGCCAGCACCCTATGACAAAAAATGGAACACACCAGCAGTGTGTGAGGAGACCTGAAAGTGGCACATGGCAGAGTGTGGCGATGGAGACAGCAGCAATGGGAGGCCGTACAGGGACCCATGAGACACTCTGGACCTGGCAGCAGCATGAGGAGGCGCTATAGGGGCCCATGGCAGATTAGGGGCCTGGCAGCAGCTATGGGAGGCCCGTAATCTGCCAGCACCCTATGTCAAAAAAATGGAACACACCAGCAGTGTGAGGAGACCTGAAAGTGGCACATGGCAGAGTGTGGATGGAGACTGGGAGGCCGTGGGACCCATGAGAGACTCTGGACCTGGCAGCAGCATGAGGAGGCGGTACAGGGGCCCATGGCAGATTAGGGGCCTGGCAGCAGCTATGGGAGGCCCGTAATCTGCCAGCACCCTATGACAAAAAATGGAACACACCAGCAGTGTGAGGAGACCTGAAAGTGGCACATGGCAGAGTGTGGCGATGGAGACAGCAGCAATGGGAGGCCGTACAGGGACCCATGAGACACTCTGGACCTGGCAGCAGCATGAGGAGGCGGTATAGGGGCCCATGGCAGATTAGGGGCCTGGCAGCAGCTATGGGAGGCCCCGTAATCTGCCAGCACCCTATGAAAAAATGGAACACACCAGCAGTGTGTGAGGAGACCTGAAAGTGGCACATGGCATGAGACACGATGGAGGACCTGGCAGCAGCCCATGAGGGACTGGCAGCAGCATGAGGAGGCGGTACAGGGGCCCATGGCAGATTAGGGGCCTGGCAGCAGCTATGGGAGGCCCGTAATCTGCCAGCACCCTATGACAAAAAATGGAACACACCAGCAGTGTGTGAGGAGACCTGAAAGTGGCACATGGCAGAGTGTGGCGATGGAGACAGCAGCAATGGGAGGCCGTACAGGGACCCATGAGAGACTCTGGACCTGGCAGCAGCATGAGGAGGCGGTATAGGGGCCCATGGCAGATTAGGGGCCTGGCAGCAGCTATGGGAGGCCCGTAATCTGCCAGCACCCTATGACAAAAAATGGAACACACAGCAGTGTGTGAGGAGACCTGAAAGTGGCACATGGCATGAGGACACTGTGGACCCATGAGACAGCAGCATGAGGAGGCGGTACAGGGGGCCCATGGCAGATTAGGGGCCTGGCAAGCAGCTATGGGAGGCCCGTAATCTGCCAGCACCCTATGACAAAAAATGGAACACACCAGCAGTGTGTGAGGAGACCTGAAAGTGGCACATGGCAGAGTGTGGCGATGGAGACAGCAGCAATGGGAGGCCGTACAGGGACCCATGAGACACTCTGGACCTGGCAGCAGCATGAGGAGGCGCGTATAGGGGCCCATGGCAGATTAGGGCCTGGCAGCAGCTATGGGAGGCCCGTAATCTGCCAGCACCCTATGTCAAAAAATTGAACACACCAGCAGTGTGAGGAGAGACCTGAAAGTGGCACATGGCAGAGTGTGGCGATGGAGACAGCAGCAATGGGAGGCCGTACAGGGACCCATGAGACACTCTGGACCTGGCAGCAGCATGAGGAGGCGGCTATAGGGGCCCATGGCAGATTAGGGGCCTGGCAGCAGCTATGGGAGGCCCGTAATCTGCCAGCACCCTATGACAAAAAATGGAACACACCAGCAGTGTGTGAGGAGACCTGAAAGTGGCACATGGCATGAGACCGTGTGGACCTGGCAGCAGCATGAGGAGGCGGTACAGGGGCCCATGGCAGATTAGGGGCCTGGCAGCAGCTATGGGAGGCCCGTAATCTGCCAGCACCCTATGACAAAAAATGGAACACACCAGCAGTGTGAGGAGACCTGAAAGTGGCACATGGCAGAGTGTGGCGATGGAGACAGCAGCAATGGGAGGCCGTACAGGGACCCATGAGACACTCTGGACCTGGCACCTGGCAGCAGCATGAGGAGGCGGTATAGGGGCCCATGGCAGATTAGGGGCCTGGCAGCAGCTATGGGAGGCCCGTAATCTGCCAGCACCCTATGTCAAAAAATGGAACACACCAGCAGTGTGTGAGGAGACCTGAAAGTGGCACATGGCAGAGTGTGGCGATGGAGACAGCAGCAATGGGAGGCCGTACAGGGACCCATGAGAGACTCTGGACTGGCAGCAGCATGAGGAGGCGGTATATAGGGGCCCATGGCAGATTAGGGCCTGGCAGCAGCTATGGGAGGCCCGTAATCTGCCAGCACCCTATGTCAAAAAAATTGAACACACCAGCAGTGTGTGAGGAGACCTGAAAGTGGCACATGGCAGAGTGTGGCGATGGAGACAGCAGCAATGGGAGGCCGTACAGGGACCCATGAGAGACTCTGGACTTCGCAGCAGCATGAGGAGGCGGTATAGGGGCCCATGGCAGATTAGGGGCCTGGCAGCAGCTATGGGAGGCCCGTAATCTGCCAGCACCCTATGACAAAAAATGGAACACACCAGCAGTGTGAGGAGACCTGAAAGTGGCACATGGCATGAGACACTGTGGACCTGGCAGCAGCATGAGGAGGCGGTACAGGGGCCCATGGCAGATTAGGGGCCTGGCAGCAGCTATGGGAGGCCCGTAATCTGCCAGCACCCTATGACAAAAAATGGAACACACCAGCAGTGTGTGAGGAGACCTGAAAGTGGCACATGGCAGAGTGTGGCGATGGAGACAACCCACCGACTGTTTTGCTCGCTGCCAAGCTGCCACCCCTCTTCTCCTGATGATGCGGAAGCAATAGCCTGATGACGACGAGGCTGCCAAGTGCGATCAGCCTCATCATCATCAATTAGGGTCTCCGCCTCACTACTAGCCCCCTCGGCTGCGTGTGGGTCAGGAGACAGACCTGTCTCTAGACCGGCTACCGAGCCACTCTCCTCGCCACTACTTCTTCGCCTGGCTGCTGAAGAGGCGGATGTCTCCCCCCGTTCCTGACCGCCCTCTGTTAGCTCTTCCTCACTGTACAGTGGGGCTGAGCCCACAGCATGCGATACTTCGCTTGGTGAGGGAACACCAAAGGACAGGGGCAGGTAGAGGACACGTGATTTCAGTGGGCTTGGTCCCGGGCCATGCCAACTAACGGTGTGTCTGACGTACCCACCGACCGTTGGCTGTAGGTGTCAGAGGTGACCTGGGAAGAGGAAGACGACCGAGCCAACCAATCGATGACGGCAGGGTTGTCGGTGGAGACACGACCGCTGGATGACACCGGGAGCACTGGCCTCTGGCTGCGAATAGTGCTGCCTCGACCCCTTCCTCTGCTGCCACGTCTGCTCGCTCCTAAAACAATCCTCTGCCACTCCTCTGCATGTTGTCTGACATACTCTTTAATTCAACGATTCTGTGTCCCTGAGTAACAATTCTGTGTCCCTGAGTAACAATTCTGTGTCTGTCCCTGAGTAACAATTCTGTGGCCCTGAGTAACAATTCTGTGTCCCTGAGTAACAATTCTGTGTCTGTCCCTCAGTAACAATTCTGTGTCCCTGAGTAACAATTCTGTGGCCCTGAGTAACAGTAACATTCTGTGTCTGTCCCTGAGTAACAATTCTGTGTCTGTCCCTGAGTAACAATTCTGTGTCCCTGAGTAACAATTCTGTGTCCCTGAGTAACAATTCTGTGTCTGTCCCTGAGTAACAATTCTGTGGCCCTGAGTAACAATTCTGTGGCCCTAAGTAACAATTCTGTGGCCCTCAGTAACAATTCTGTGTCCCTGAGTAACAATTCTGTGGCCCTAAGTAACAATTCTGTGGCCCTCAGTAACAATTCTGTGTCCCTCAGTAACAATTCTGTGTCTTTCCCTGAGTAACAATTCTGTGGCCCTGAGTAACAATTCTGTGGCCCTGAGTAACAATTCTGTGTCCCTCAGTAACAATTCTGTGTCTGTCCCTGAGTAACAATTCTGTGGCCCTAAGTAACAATTCTGTGTCCCTCAGTAACAATTCTGTGTCCCTGAGTAACAATTCTGTGTCTGTCCCTGAGTAACAATTCTGTGGCCCTAAGTAACAATTCTGTGTCCCTGAGTAACAATTCTGTGGCCCTAAACAATTCGTGTTCTGTGGCCCTCAGTAACAATTCTGTGTCCCTCAGTAACAATTCTGTGTCTGTCCCTGAGTAACAATTCTGTGGCCCTAAGTAACGATTCTGTGTCCCTGAGTAACAATTCTGTGGCCCTAAGTAACAGGTTCTGTGGCCCTCAGTAACAATTCTGTGTCCCTGAGTAACAATTTCTGTGGCCCTAAGTAACAATTCTGTGTCCCTAAGTAACTGTGGCCCTCAGTAACAATTCTGTGGCCCTGAGTAACAATTCTGTGTCTGTCCCTGAGTAACAATTCTGTGGCCCTAAGTAACAATTCTGTGGCCCTAAGTAACAGTTCTGTGGCCCTCAGTAACAATTCTGTGTCCCTGAGTAACGTTTCTGTGGCCCTAAGTAACGGTTCTGTGGCCCTCAGTAACAATTCTGTGGCCCTCAGTAACAATTCTGTGTCTGTCCCTGAGTAACAATTCTGTGGCCCTAAGTAACGGTTCTGTGGCCCTCAGTAACATTTCTGTGTCCCTGAGTAACAATTCTGTGGCCCTAAGTAACGGTTCTGTGGCCCTCAGTAACAATTCTGTGGCCCTCAGTAACAATTCTGTGTCTGTCCCTGAGTAACAATTCTGTGGCCCTAAGTAACAATTTGTGTGGCCCTCAGTAACAATTCTGTGTCTGTCCCTGAGTAACAATTCTGTGGCCCTAAGTAACGGTTCTGTGGCCCTCAGTAACAATTCTGTGTCCCTGAGTAACAATTCTGTGGCCCTAAGTAACGGTTCTGTGGCCCTCAGTAACAATTCTGTGTCCCTCAGTAACAAATCTGTGTCTGTCCCTGAGTAACAATTCTGTGTGCCCTAAGTAACGATTCTGTGTCCCTGAGTAACAATTCTGTGGCCCTAAGTAACAATTCTGTGGCCCTCAGTAACAATTCTGTGTCCCTCAGTAACAATTCTGTGTCCCTCCCTGAGTAACAATTCTGTGGCCCTAAGTAACGATTCTGTGTCCCTGAGTAACAATTCTGTGGCCCTAAGTAACAGTTCTGTGGCCCTCAGTAACAATTCTGTGTCCCTGAGTAACAATTCTGTGGCCCTAAGTAACGGTTCTGTGGCCCTCAGTAACAATTCTGTGGCCCTGAGTAACAATTCTGTGTCTGTCCCTGAGTAACAATTCTGTCTGTGGCCCTAACTAACGTTTCTGTGGCCCTAAGTAACAGTTCTGTGGCCCTCAGTAACAATTCTGTGTCCCTGAGTAACGTTTCTGTGGCCCTAAGTAACGGTTCTGTGGCCCTCAGTAACAATTCTGTGGCCCTCAGTAACAATTCTCTGTGTCTGTCCCTGAGTAACAATTCTGTGGCCCTAAGTAACGGTTCTGTGGCCCTCAGTAACAATTCTGTGTCCCCTGAGTAACAATTCTGTGGCCCTAAGTAACGGTTCTGTGGCCCTCAGTAACAATTCTGTGTCCCTCAGTAACAATTCTGTGTCTGTCCCTGAGTAACAATTCTGTGGCCCTAAGTAACAGTT